GTTTTAGTGTTTGGGGGTTTAGGGTTTAGGGTGTGGTGCCTTTTAGTTATAAGCTTCTTTAAGGGCTCGTCTAAGGGTGCCTTGTTCACTAGGCTTCTAGAAGAATTCCTTTACAGGGTACTAAGGTATTAGGGTTTAGGGTTTGAAAGGAATTTTCGGGTACTATAATCGGGCCCCGTTAAAGGGTACTCTAGGATTTACAGGGGTTTGGAACTACAGAAATATAGGAACCTGACTCAGAAACCTTGGGTCTTTGTTGGGGTTCCTTATACTCTCTTCTTCACCAAAAAGGCCAAAAAAAGGTCAAGCTTTTTCAGATAGATCAAAAAGTTTAAAGTTCTCCCATTGGGAGCCTAAACCCTACGTAAACCCTAAACCCTAAACGTTAAATCCTAAGCCCTAAACCCTAAACCCTAAGCCCTAAGTATCTAGATCGTGGAGCTCTAGGGCCAGGGGTTCTGGGCCAGGGTTGCTTAATCGGGCTCCGTGTCGAGGCCTTCACCTTTAGGGCTTATAACGCCAAACCCTAAACGCTAAACTCCCCAAACCAGGGTTTAGGATTTGGGGTGGGTTTAGGGGTTTAGGGCTCTTGGGGTATATGAAACTGCAAGTATACAAGCAGGTTCTAGTAGGGTCTTGGGGGAACCTTCGTTGGACTAGCTAGACCCTATGATCTCCTTATATAAGGTCCCAGAAAGGCAGGCACTTTGAGGTCCAGGTCGGGCTTCTTGGAGTTAAGATTTAGCTCAGTTTAAGACCTGAAGGTTTCGGGTCTAGGGTTTAGCAAGGTTTAGCATTGAATTTAGGGTTTCGGGTCTAGCGTTTAGCATTGAGTTTAGGGCTTAGACTGTAGCATTGAGTTTAGGCTTTAGGATCGATGCTTTACAATTAGAGGGTGTAGGGCTTGCGTTGACTTGAAATTGAAGGTATGGTTTGGGTGGGGGTATACTACGGTTAGGTCATTTATAGTCTTCAAACTCTAGGGGGCGGGCGTCTTGATCCCTAAACTAAAAGTTAGGAGTAGGGGGACCCTTGGAATTCTAGACCCTCTCAATAAGGTCCCCTTTAAGAGCGCCATAAGTAGGGTTAATAAAGAAAGGTCCCCTTTCAGGGGCCTAATACTAACCTGGCAAAAAAAAACCTAAACCCTAGCCTTCAACCCTCAAGACAAGACACTCATGACGCGCCGACTGGTGGTCCGATGCTCGCCACCGCACGGCTGGCATTCCTCGGGTTTTGGCCACAACGGTTCACAGTCTATAGGGGTTCAGGGATTAGGGGTCTAGGCGCTTGGGGATTCGGGGTTTAGGGATAAGGGGTTTAGAAGCTTAGGGTCTTCAAAATTTCGGATGTACGGTTCAGGGCGTCGGAATTAGGGTTTCAGGGCTTCGAGTTCAGGCCGTCAAGGCTTTCTAGTGAAGTGAGAGTTCTGATCGGCAGCTAATTACTCAAAACCAAACGGTTTAGCAGTAACAGCTAGTCCAAAGTACAACGAGATTCTGAGTTTCCAGTGGTGTTGGCATAGCGACCGAGCTCGCAACGCTCACAGTGAGCATTGCCAGCATCTCCCGTGAATGTACCCACATCACAGGAAGCGCAGCTCGTCTCACCAAAAGAATTCTGGTGCGTGCCCGCCGGGCCTGAGTGATCTTGCAGCGCGAATATTGGCCCCCAAACCTTCGATATGAAAACATACAGAACATCTGATCCTGAACCCCGCAAAACCTGGACCCAGAGCCCTGTCGACCCTAAACTACCTAAACCTTTAAACTACAGCTACTGGGATCTATGCTGAGATCTTGTGGTCAGCTTTCGATGACCGTTAATTTATGGGGCATTAAAAGAAACAATCAAGAGCCGGGCAAACGGTACACCGATGAGTTTGTCCAAGATCGTCGGACCTTTGCGTCTAGGTTTTGGGCTTAAGGGTTCAGGGCATAGGGTGGTTTAGGGTTTACAGTAGGGTTTACGGGAAGGCATCTGTCAGTGTGAATGTAAGTTAGAACCCTCAACCCTAAACCATACTAGACCTTCGAAGAACCCTTGGCTGGAGGCCCTATGGCTCGGAATACCGGGTATTTAAGCTAATATTCGGGTAGCTGGGGGTTCGGTTTCGGCTTTCGCGGGTACTAAAGCCAACAAGAGGGCTTCGGGGGTTTAGGGTGTAGGGCTTGGTCGGTATAGGGTTTAGGAATTTAGGGTACTGGACCATAAATAAAAAGGCTGAAGCCCATGAGAATCCAAGGGACCAAGGCTCAGAGAACGTGCCGGCTAGGCACACCGAGCATGCCACAGCGTCCCGACGATCAGGGACATGGTGCCCAGCATCATCTACGAGGCCATATCCTGCTAGGCACCTGATTTTTCAGGCCTAAACCCTAAACCCTAAACCCTAAACCAGGAGTTCGAACTGCAGACCTTTCTATCGTGGAGTCACAGCTTAGGGCTTATTGGCTGATGCCGGGGTTCGCCCAAAAGTGCTTGGGATGTCGGGCTTCTCGAGTTAGGGAGGATAAAACCGAAACCCTGAACTCTGAGCCATACAAGCCCTGGCCCTAAACCTTAAACCACTTGAGTTGAAGTCCCGGCAGAGCCAAGACGAAGGCTCAGCCACAACATTGCGCTTTTGATGCAAAAGTGTCCTACGTAAGCCTAGAAATTGATTCGGTGGAGTACTCTGACTTTCCGAATGAGATGGCTCTGGCTTCTGAACCAATCTGGCATTGTCCCCATATCTAGGCGGAACAACTTAATATCACACCGCTTCACGGCTTGCAGCTGTAGCCCTGGGTCTGCACCGGCACCCACTTCTCCCATCGATCTCTGTTGGCGCGAATCCACTCACAGGCCACTTCTTCAGCGGTCGCGCCGGCGCTGGTTGACGTCTGGCGGCGCTAAGGCTTTCGGGAGAAACCCCGAACCCTAAACCCCGAGTAAGGGTTTAGGGGGTTTAGGGTTAAGGGTTTAGGGTCTAGGACATTTTCAGCTGGGTAGTTACCGTTATATAGGAGCCTTGTAGAGGCTTAGTCACACTTTACAAGCCATTCGGCTTACACTTACCCCCACACCCCAGCATCTACACTCCTCGACTCTGAGCCCTAGACCCTGAACCCTACAACCCAAGACTCGTATAACACCTGTTGGACATGTTTGAGAGATCCTCATGAAACCCTAACACCTGAAAGATACCCCATCGCAACACTAAAGCTCAAGCCTTGCATCTAGCCGCTATATAGCCATATAGTCTGGCATGTTAATCTCCCTACGCCGACCGGACCCCCCCCCCCCCGAAGCAGCCCAAACGTCTCAGGCCACCTTTCTCAGAAGGCTCTGCATGTCCTGTGCGGTTTTAAGATTTGCAAGCCTAGGGTTGAGTCTTTGGTTTTTCGAAACTACAAACCTATGGCTTGGGGCTGTGGGGTTCAGGGCTTCGGGTTCGTTGTGTTGACCTTATCTACACGATCTCTCGGTGGTTTTCGCCAACTGTTGGTGCAGGAAAGCTTGCATGATCCATGAGACAGACAGAAGGAGTGGACCACCCCAAATCCTGGGCCCTTTAACCTGAACCCTGTGCAGTGCCTCGTCCATCGCCTGTTTCAACAGACAGTCTTGGGCCTTAAACGGGCCACGATTCGCCTGCTTTCAGGCACGGCCTTGAACTACCTGTAGTCTCCATTGTAGTTCTGTTTTGGATTACCACTACAGCATCCTACATGTAAAGTTTGCTAGACGGTGGGTCTACTCTGCAGGCGTTAATACATACCTCAACATTCGGCTCCTCTGAGATCGTTGGTGCAGTGCTTTTCCCGGCTTTTCCCAACTTGCAGCACTTTTACCGATCACCCCCACATAGTGTAAACTTGATATATGGGTACTTTGGGACCCAAAAAAACATGTACTGCTTGTGCACGTGGACCCTTAAGGGGACCCCATCCTATTATAGAACCTTCTAGCACACCTTTAATTTGAATGAGGGTCGGACCCTTAGGGTAGGGCTAAAGGTAGGTTTCGGACGCTAAACTGGGCTCTTGTTAAAGGATTTTATCTAAGTCACCATGACGGGGATCTATAGTAAATAATATGGGTCCTTTCCTTATTGTGGCAACTTAAAAAAAATCCCCGAACAAGAACCCAGTAAACCTCGGCTTGCAGCTTCAGGTGCTGCAGGGTCGGGCGAGCCTAGGACTGAGATCATACTGAAAACGGTCACAACGACAGCCTGGGTTTAGGGCTGCAGGGTTTTAGGGATTTAGGGTCTTTAGGGTTTAGGGATTTAGGGTTTTAGGGTTTTAGGGCTTGGGGAT